AGTCCCTTCTGGTTTGAAGGGTCTCTGCTGAAAGATATGTGTTAGTCTGATGGGTTCTCCTTTGTAAGTAACTTGTTGCTTTTGTCTTGTCTTGCAGTTTGTAGGATTTTCTCCTTCTCTTTGACTTTGGCCAGGCTGACAACTATGTGTTTTGGTGGTGTTCTCTTTGTTATGAATCTTCCAGGTGTTCAATGCCCATCTTGTATCCGGATATCTAAATCTCTAGCAATATGAGAGAAGTTTTCCTCAATTATTCTCTCAAATAGGTTTTCCATGCTGGTTGCCTTTTCTTTTTCTCCCTCAGGGATACCTATGATTTTTATGTTACCTCACTTTGCATAATCCCATTATTTCTTGCAGTGATTGTTCATTCTGTTTTCTTTTTTCTACATTTTTAACTGACTGGCTTATTTCGAAATCCTTGTCTTTAAGCTCTGAGATTCTTTCTTCTGCTTAGTCTAATCTGTTGTTAAAGCTTTCTGCTGTATTTTGAAATTCCCTAAATGACTCTTTCATTTCTTTTTTTTTGGGACAAAGTCTCACTCTGTTGCCCGGGCTAGAGTGCCATAGCGCCAGCCTAGCTCACAGCAACCTCAAACTCCTGGGCTCAAGCAGTCCTTCTGCCTCAGCCTCCCGAGTAGCTGGGACTACAGGCATGCCACCATGCCCAGCTATTTTCTATGTATGTTTTTAGTTGTCCATCTAATTTCTTTCTATTTTTAGTAGAGACGGGGTCTCGCTCTTGCTCAAGCTGGTCTCGAACACCTGAGCTCAAACAATCCACCCGCCTCGGCCTCCCAGAGTGCTGGGATTACAGGCGTAAGCCACCGCACCCAGCCTCTTTTTTTTTTTTGACTCTTTCATTTCTTAGAGTTCTGTTATCTCTTTGTTAATATTATTTCTCTCTTTAGTGAATTTTTTGTTCATGTCCTGAATTATTTTTTGGTTTCTTTGATATGGTTTTCTACCACCTCCTCAATTCTGTTCATCTTACTTGCCTTCCATAATCTAAATTCCACATCTGTCATTTCAACAATTTCCTTTTGGTTGGAATTCATTACTGGAGAACTATTGTGATCATTTGGGGTGGTTAGACAGCCTTTTTTTCATGTTACCGGAGTTTTTATGCTGGATCCTCCTCATATGGGGCCTCTTCTCTCAGTCCCAAACAGATTATAGACACAGTACATCTGTTCTTCTCTGCTGGGACCTGGGTTACTCAGTGATGAAAGGGATGGAGCCCTGGCTGGTGTACTTGGGTTCTACACCAGAAGCTTGATCAAGCTGGGCAGAGTACCTGTGGAGGATAGAGCAGGTCCATGGGGCACGGCACTCACATGTGTGGGCTGGGGCAGCAGCGGTGCTGGGTGAGTGGCCAGGGAATGCATAGGGTGTGGCATGGGTCCATGGCATGCAGTCTGCCCAGTTCCAAACATGGCAGCTGCACTGGCTCTTGCGCTTTGCCCTGCTTGGGGCCTTGGTGGCAGAATTGGTGGCAGTGGTCCAGCTGCCCTGACAGTGGGCCGTGGGTGCCAGAGCTACAGGTGTGTGCTCTGCCCGGGGTCCACAGAAGGTATAGTTAAGTGGGATCACTCAGGCCATAGCAGCAGGTGCTAGGCCCATGGTCTCCTGTTTTGGCTAGGTCCCCTGGCAGTGGCAGCAGCAGGGGTGCAGATCACTTGCTCATGGGGCATGCATGAGCACCAGGACTCCCTATTCTCTCCATACCAGGCAGGGGCAAGGCGGGGCAGCAGTCATAGATCTGACCCCTGGGCAAAAGTAGTATTCCAGGGTTGGGATGTCACAATGGCTCATCATTCCAAAATAATTATATCATGTTTTTTGGATAAGCATATTATTGAATGCTAGCTCCCCCAAAATACCACCAGAATAATCTGTTGATAAAGGAACAGTGAGATTATTACTTACTGGCAAGTAAAAGCATACTATCTTGACAAAGTCTTGGTCATGTCTTCAAGGGCAAAGGCAGGAGATTTATTCTTGAGATTTCTTGGATTTCTGCTTTAGGGTGTTCCTTTCAATGCAGAGGCTTAATTAAAATTGATAAATTTATGATATAATAGATTAGGATTGGTTGACATAGGAAGGTGAAGTTTTCAAAGTGAGTCTTGAACCATGATATTAAATTTTTGTTTTTTCAGGGATTAATAACTGCCTCATTTTCCCCATTAATTTAGGGTTTTGTTTAACTATCATTAATTAATATTTAAACTGTCCAACAAAACTCTAAAATTCCTCTCTATATGGGCAAATATGTCAGGTAATCTATGTTTCATTTTCCTCCCTTGGAAATATGCCTCTTAGGGCCTCCTGTCCTCTGTCCCTAATGTAGACTGGTTGCTCTTAGCCCTGCTATACAGATGTCATCCTTGGATTTCTCTTTGCCTCTCTTGGATGGTGAATCTTACTCTTTGGATCTTATGTGTTAATATTTTCTATCTTTTGTTTACTCTTTCATATTAGAGAAGCCATCCTCTAATAGTGTTTTGCAAGTCCTTTTCTATAAATAATCCATGTATAAATAATTGATATCGTGAATATGATGTTTTCTTTTTGTCTATTTGTAATGCTAGAATTTCATTACAAAAGTATATCTCAGAATTGCTAGAAAAAGTTATCATTTTCTTACAGATGAAATTTGGAACAATAGAAAATAATTGTGGGTAATTTTGCTTTTTAAAGTTCTAGAAAGGCTATCTATATAAGTGGCTACAGGGATATATATAGTCAAATTCCATATTTTAGTTTTTCAATTTGTTGTGAATATTTTTTATAACTATCAGGTAATGATGTTTTATAATTTTGAAAATTCGGTAAAGACTTGTAAATTTTGTTTCATAAATAAAGATAAATACAAAGCATTATAATTTTATCAAATTAACTTTAAAAAACTTTTTCTCAAATAGTTGTAGACTGATATAATTTGAGTTTAGATTTTAATTGCAAAAATTATGTCTTAAAAAGTGTCTATAGTCTTTGAAGCTGGTATGCTGGAGCTCAAGAAGTCAAATGTATATTTTTAAACAGATAACCTTGATTCAAAGGAGATCCAGGCTACTGCCTCTCAGTTTCTAACATTTGGGTGTCAGTAACAATGCTGACAGGTACATTCTAGGAAGAATTTGGGAGAAGAGAGTCCCCAAGAGTACAGAGAGGGCTCTTGGTTAGGCTATGACTTCGTGTTTCTAGAAACCAGATAGACAGCAAACCGCCATTACCTTTGGAAAATAGTGTCCTGGAATAAAGTGGGTCCTACCACTAGTCCATCACTCTTCCCCAACTTCTGTGCACATCAGGGAGATGTGGCTGAAAGAAATGATTCAGGAAGTCTGTCCACATATGAAGCCTATCACCCACTGAGGGAAATTTGGCTGCCCTCCTGTTTTCTACAGACCTATTCCTTGACCATGGAAAGCTCTAAAAATGACTATCTCATATCTGTGGTACAGGCATTTTAGGGATGGTTCTGAGAATAATAATGTCCAATGAATGGACTGTATAGCCACTGTTTTGATCATGGGCAATGGTATGCTTTTTACACTATTTAGGGTCCGAGGGATTGAGAGAAGTTTGGAGAATAGTACAGGGAAGGTAGGAGAACATCTTAAGCCTGATTCATTTCTCCTATGCTCTCTCAAAAACCATTAAGAAATGGCTCTGCCACAATTCTATCACTTTTATATTTTCTTTGTTCAACAAGCTTTTTAAAATGAATAAATGTAGCATTTTGGGAAAAGCTAGGCTTGTCTATAATTTTAATGCACTTGCCTAAACTCTTACTGAGGTCTTAGAAATAGTAATTTTTAAAGGGGGGAAGGAAAGGAGGGAGGAAGAAAGATGATGATTTATGGAACCAGTAAGACAAATTTGGATTTAGGTGTACATATTGGTCACAATAATATGGAAATATATTTACATTTGTATTATTTAAATTCATATAACTGGGAATTACTATAAATGATACTATGAGAAGTAGCAGTATATAATATCTTAAAGAGCAGAGCACTGGAAGGCAGGATAACTAGAATCTTGTCCTGTCTTAGCCTCTAGGACAGTGTGTACTCCTGGGCCACCTTCCCACCCCACACTCATCCTGCCCCCGCAGCAACCTCAACTGTTCACTTTTCTTCGTGTGAATAATGAAGTTGTAGACTGGGTGATTACTAAGCTTCCTCTCAAGATTCTGTTATCATGTCATACATTTCAGAAGCTTTGTGTGTTTTCACTTAATGAAATTAGGTGGCGTTACTTGTATTTTGTGATTTTTAAAAAATCATTTGGGTGTAAACATTTCAGTATTTGTGAAGGGTAACTGTTTAAAGAGCAGTGGTGTCCTTTTTGGGATGCTATACATAAATATAACAGGGTAGATTTCCCTTGTAAGAACCTCTGATATGTGCTTAGATTGGAAATTGCCCTTACAGTGCCCTTTGGTGACATTTTCTATGATCTATTTTTAGTTTTATGGGGAGAATTGTCAGTGTATTGGTTCATTTGTAACTGAGTGGTATATTTCCTAAGGTTTGAGAATAGTGAGATAAATAGCTTTGAAATTCTCACTATTGTTTGGAAGGCTAATTGTATAAATTTAAAATTTAAAGCTTTTGAATGGCTTCTTTTTAAAAGTGATTTTTACCAAATGTTTAATCATACTGTGTTTGTGCTACAGTTGAAATGCTGAAGTAGCATTTTGGCATCTTTCCCAAAAGCATGCTTAAAGAGGCTAGCAGCAGCATCTCTCCCTGTCTCCTCAGTGCTTTTTACCTTGCGAGTGGTGCAGCTTGTTCTGCGGATGTACTGAAACCCTCCCATTTAATCTGCAGTGGAGAAGAATGGAGTTCAATGTCCAGTAGAAATCAATCGTGTAGCAAGGTTGCAGTAAATAGCAATGACTATATATTTCAACAGCTGAACAAGAAGACATTTATAATATTTTTTTTCTTTCAACTGATAAATTTTTGCTTTCTGTTTCCTTCTAGAGAGATGTGGATAATTTGCCCTGCCTCCAACGTCTGTTTCTCAGCTTCAACAATATATCTAGGTAAGTGGAAACTCCCAACTTGTCATTTATTAACTACTTGATTGTGTGGGTTCTAGCACTTTAAATTAAGATTGTAAATACCTTGGAGAAATTTATTGATATGGAAGATTTTAAATTGTAAAATGATATGACAAAGTTCTTTGTGGAAAAATGAAGCTCTTGTGTGTATTATTACCTCTAATGCTAAAATGATGACATTAGTATAACATGTGCTTTTTATTTAATTATACTTTAGAGTTATGCTTTTGTAAAATATGTGTATGTGGAAATTTCAACATATATTTGGCTGTCCTTTGCTTGACATTCACTGCACTAGTCAGTTGAATTAGAATTTCTTTCAGAAATTACCATCTACAATTTATATAGCTACTGAGCAATTTTAATACAGCAGGCTATATTTGTCACTGAGCCACTTGCTAATTAGGCCATAACTGCCTTCTAACTTAGTAGTCTCACTTAGAATTAATACTGTTAAGAGACAGTATATTAGAATGTGTAAGTGTATAAATTTAGTTTTCCAAAGATTTGAAGCATATCATCCTTTTTACTTTGATAATGTCTCATTCAGCGTCAATGTAGAAGATTTCAGAACTGGAGCTGAGACATACAGTCAGACTTTTCAGTGCAGAAGGACCCTTACTTCTTCCTTAATTTTTCATTCTCCTCTTTCCCTGGCAGCACTTAGTTTGTAGTAGGCTATTATAATGACCTCTCAGGTCTTTATTTTCATTTCAAGGCTGTTCTTTGAACCTGCTTTTATAAGAGGGTAAAAATTAAATAAAAAGATTTAGAGAATATCTCTTTCTGAACTCTATGTCTGTGCTTCTATATTAAGAAACAGTTTCATTTTTGTCATTTTCTATTCACTTCTTTTTTGTCCTCTGTCCTATCTTCCTATACTATATCTCTAAAAGACAAGAGATTATCTAAAGATGGTGAGCTTTGCATATAGGTGTTATTTCAAAGAAAATACCCTTAATCTTTCTCTTTTTTCTCTTCTGTGGAAAAAATATTAAAGTTTTCTGATAGACTTTTCATATTCTTCTTAGTTTATGTTGAATGCAGTGTTCTAGCTGCCTTTCTATCTTGGTGGGTGGGGAGGTAGGATTTCTTTTTATTGGCAGTGAAAGAGACACTCAATTTTCTTTAGGAAATTTCTCCTTAAAAACCATTAACAACTGTTTAGAGAAGATAGTTTCATTCTTACAATATGAAATATTAGCTATTTTTAGGATGCTGCAAACCCCTAGATTTCCCCAACCTGGGTAGAACTCATTACTTCATTTATTTCTTGTCTTGATTATAGAGAATAGTTTAAAGAGAGACATAAATTTGGTATAGCAGGGTTATGATGTTCCCACATCCCCAGGACTTCTGACTTTCTAAACTCTTAAACTCCTGGCTCTATAGGAAGTTGGTTTTGGTTATCTGTATCTGGGAGATTTTCTTCCTAACCTAAAAAGGAATTTCATCCACTCTGCAAAGTAAAGTTAAGATTATGAGAGTAATACTTAAAACTTTGTTTAAAAAGCATGATTTCTCAAGAAATAGATGTAGAAGTGAGCCAACAATTTCAAGGCTTTCATTCTCTCTGCTTTCTCTGTGTTTCTGCTTAGACTTCGCCCTGTACCTTCCTCTAGTGTTTCCAGCTGATCTGCTTTTGAGGCAAAGTACATTTTTTGCTCTGTTCTTGTTGATGCTTGTGGTCCAGGAGGTTGTATAGTGAATATATTGGGTCTGAGGGGGGAAAAATCAGAGAGAGCAAGCCTTGATAGCTGGGCTATCAGACAACCCAAAAATATAACCATAGTATATTTTCAGGGCCCAGTTGTTCCATTATGTCCTGGCCTAATAGAGCTGCTGGGTTTTACAGTGCCAGCTTTCTGGGACCTATCCTACATGGATTCTAATTCAGTAGTTTTAGCTTGGGCTGAGCAATTTGTATCTGTACTAAGTAATGCAGCTGACTTAAAAATACTTCAAACTTCAGATCAAAACCCCTGCAGGGATCAATTTAGTGATTTAAGACCAGGAAAATTAGATGGAATAGAAAATATCAGAATTTGCCATACATCCTAAGGGCAAAATATTGTTTCATAAAAATTTTCCAGTGTTAATAATATATAGGTGTGTCTATGCGTACATTTGTATGTGTACAATGTAGAAACTGGGTGACGGTGTAAATATGTTTCTTATGCACTCACATAGGTTGGGTTAAAAAGCTTAAAAAATGCTGTGGGATCTTGCTACATGCATTTATAGCTTCTTGTATTTCCATTGTTATTGCAGTGTTCATAGTTTATTGTACTTTCATTTTAAATTGTCCCCTCTGTTAGACTGTAAACTTGACAAAGACAGAGGAATATGTCTGTACTGCTCACTAAAGCCTCTCTAGCACCTAACATGTATATCCTCTTAGTGAAAGAATTACTAGTGTATTTAAAAAATTTATGAGAAGAATTTAATCCCTCAAACAGAAAGATGTTTCTATGTATCTAAGAACTTGTTTTGGTGGGTCCTCTTTCATTTCATTACTGGGTCATTTGGATCATGTTTAAAACCTTGACCTGAGAGGTTTAAAGCCACAAGCAACCAAAGTTGTTTTGGCAGTTTGGGCCTCCAGGTCAATTTATTGATTTGTCAGTAGGATCTTGCTCAGAACTTCTAGAGAAACTAAACCTTTCATTTATGCAGTGGGGCATATCTAGGGTAGGTTAGTGGGTGTGGTGAGCCCCAGGCAAGGGTGTAGGCAATAAGGAACTACAGTACCTGTAGGACATTTAAAAACAATAATAAAATGAACAAAAATAATGTTGCTTTTTATTAGCATCATGCACTGGAAATTCTAACCCATGTCAGTGATAAAATACTCCTCCTTGCCAGGGTGGACCTCTCATACCTCCTTCCTTACCTTAGTAAGACAATGTTATTTAGACTCAGCTTTCTCTTTATGATATCACTGAAAATTTTGAACTATTTAATGTTTCCTTTTTTTTTTGAGGAAGCAATGTTATAAGTTCTCTAGTGACCTTTGTTAGTA